TGCGGCGGGTACTCGCGTTTTGTATTTTTTGGACAGACAAAGACTTAATTAATTTCTCCCGCGTCTTCTTCTTCTTCTTCTTCTTCTTCTTGTTCTTCTTCCTCTTCCTTCCTACTACCCGTCCGCCGCGGTCTCCCGCCGCAATCGTCGTGTCGTTTCCGGTTTCCTGGTTTACCTTTGCACATATACCAGCGGCGGTGGCGGTGCCGCGATTAATCATCCGCGCGAGCAAAACTTTCTTCTTGCCTGTCGGTTCCGTTATATACGTGTATACACGCACGCCGGGAAACCTAATGGGATTTGTCACGAGTGCCGCCGAAAAGGTCATGCGGATTCGAATGCGTAATTAGAATTATGTAGTACGGTGGCGTCTTAACCGTATTAAATATACCTGCTGACGTAGAATTGAATATTCATTTTTTCACGAAACCGTTTCGCGTTTACTTGCATCCCTCCCTGGAACTGTGTGCATGTAGGTAGCGAGTGATTGAATTGAATGTAGATCATAAAATCATTCAGGTGTGTCAGAGACGGGGGGGAGCATAGATGCAAATGAAGACCTGTATGTTTTTTAAACGCCCCTAGATTGCTCATATCTCCTCGAAAAATAAAAACCTAATAAATACACTATACACTAGTGAATAAAAAAGTATTAGTAGATTCACAAAAATATATTATGATGAAAAGTGTTCCAGCCCCACCTCTTCAAATATCAAACACTTTTTATATCAATAGGGGAGGAGGGAATAATGAGTAAGTGAGGGCACGGTAAAAGTGTCAACTTTCGAAACACTTTCCGATCCGACCGAAATAAATCGTTGCGTCTAAGGTACTATTAGTATTATTTTAATATACTATATAGTCATCTAACCGAATCAATCATAAATGCGAAGAATTCAATCAAAAGTGTTCGTTTTAAAAATGTACGATGAGCTTATTGACCGCGAGGAAAATAAAATAATCTACGGGGAGTATAGAGTGGAAAACACTTCGTTGCGCTCGTGTGGTAGAAACGGACAATAATTCAACGATCCGCCCATGATTCGTATAGAAACTCATTACGACGTCGAATAGGATAATATTAGTTATTTGGATTGAAATCGTTAACATTTCACGTCAATTTCCGTGCCTACGGTCTTTGTAGTATCCACGCGTATTACACGTAACGCAATCGGGATTTATTTTTCAACTTTAAATATTTATTTCCACAGCCTGTTACACCTTGAACGACACGGGTAAGTGACAAAACGTTTATGGCGAGAGTGATAGAATAAAGGAGATTTCCAGTGAAGGTGCTTTGACAGTTGATTTAATTACAATTACAAATGTCACAATGTATTCTCGGGCATAAACTGTGGGCGATTATGTCCCGGCATCACCGATTTTTATTAATATTTTTTTTGAGATCAGCAGGAATGTTGGCTGACGCAAGATTTTTTACCAAGGGACTCGCATTGTTTATGTAGACTTTAGTTAAATCGTTTGTAAAAAGTTTTTGCTACATCTTTGGACGGAGAAGAGAACTCGGGATTAAAAGTATTATTATTATTAAACGTAGCCTGGACCAGTGTTATTGTTTTGACGATCGGCCTCCTCCCCTCACCATCGTACGTACCGACGTAATAATAATAAGTCACGTATTTCTCTAAGCACAAAAAAAAGCTTTAACGAGGTGGTGCACGCAGAGCAACTGAGTATATTAATATAATTCTACCACACGGACGAACCAGCCGTCAGTCACGCGGTATTCGTTTGCTGTGCTCGTAAGAGCACTCGTACGCACTAGGTTTTAATACCGTTTTTTTTTGTATTTTATCTCGCATTATCACAAGAACCGAAGCAATCGATTGATGTTGTACGGTTACACGACGTGGATCGATTTCGACGGTTAATTGTGTACGTTATTCTATATTTGATTTTTGTAAGTACGTACATCATATATTTGAACACCGAGCTATCATATTATATTCCATTGTATGCACTTGAAACGTTTTACCTCGCTCGTGTTGGTGAGACAGAGGGTATCGGCCTGTTAATACGACAAAAAATAAAAAAATCAAATAAGAAAATCATTAATCCGTTTAGCTGCGAGACGGCCGCTTCGGACATTGAAATTTGAATAATTCACGTTGTAACCATCACGGTGCAGTACGTGTGCACCGCGTAGACGTGCGTTGTCGAGGACTGCAGTTGGTTTTCGGTACGGTGTCCGTACCTATGCGATAATAAATTACGCACTTGTGAGGCGGTTCGTTGAGACATGCGGCACGCGACCGCGGTATCGGTATCGAAAAACAGTTTACAACGTCACCATCGCGACGACTGTACATAATGAGAATAATTATTACTGCGACAAGTTTGGTGTCCATCTTACGATGGTAATGCGCGCGCAATATATTACAAACATTCGTCCCGTACGTTCTTCTAATATACGGACGACGAAATCAATAATAATGGTTTTAGTATGCAGTATCTCTCTCACTCTCTCCCGAGTGACTTTGACGGCCGTACTCGATAACCATATCATGTTATGCAGTGCGGTTGTACTCGTGATATCGTGTCACTGTATACGAGTGTCAACGTGAGACATCATTATAATATATTACGCGTCGAGCGGGAAAGACCCGGTCGGTCTGGAAATCGGAGATGCGCCAACCGTTTCCGTTCGGGACGAGAACCCATCACACACTATTCGTGTCCGATTCGATTGTTTCGGTAAGACGTCTGCAGGCGCTACCGGGTGTTCAAAACCGTCTTCGGTGTTGTCCGAGCGAACGATTAGTGGCGATTAGTTTACGATTATCGTACGACCGTCGTCTGAGTTCACTGTAGTACGGTCTCGCCCGCGGGTAAATGGCTCGTAACTATTAAAAAATAAAAGAAACCATCAGCCAAGACGAACGTGTGTAAAGCGGTAGAAACGCTACAGATAACCTCTGTCGGCCGGTGCCGAAAAATCATGGCGACAAGTACTTCAATTATTCTCAAAGAACGTGGAATTCCGTACGTAAGACGGTCAAAGGAAGCGAGAAACCAAACTTTTTAATTTTTTTTTTCGACCGGGGTACCCCTTACCTTCGTGAACGTTTATACCAGGGGTAGCAAACATTTTGAACACTGCGTGTCCAAAATTACCTTTCTTTTTATAGAGCGTGACATGAAAAAAATATTAAAAATTTTGTATATTATTATAATTAGATTGTATAATTAATGTATTAATATAAAAAAGTTAGTTTAGATACATAATAATAATAATAATTATAATAATATTGCTTTGTTAATTATTTATATTATATTATATATTATATAATATAGAATAGTAAACCTTTTCGAGTTCCATAGATTTGCCATCCCTGGTTTATACGATATCAGTGTTTGAGCTCATGGCCCGTCTTACGATGTGGACACGTTTATCGGTTTCCACCGGTGGCGTGTTCATACATCGAATGTTCCATTATCACCGTTACTCGTGTCATATTTGTACTGTTCGTAACTGAATTTCGTTAACACCAGAGACGAAAGCCGAAAAAAATTTCGGGAGGAAAAAATTTGAAAAAATTTCAAGTATTCATAAATATTGTATGGTTGTATTTTATACATCAATTTACAAACCACGCGAAACTTTTAAAGAACTAATAAGTTTTTTGAATTCCAAAAAAAATAAGTTGGAACCCCCCGCGTACGACCCTGGTTAACACCGATACCTCGGTGCACACCCAACAATTGCAATCGTCCAACGTTTCACCACGTGTGCCATTACCGAACGCCGTACCGGCAAACGCCGTGTACCCCATAAAAGCAGATAATTATTATTACTGACCATTCGTGTTAAAGGCCCACTCGATTGCAAGGAACACGTTAATTTTTTGTGGAACATATATCTTTGACGTCACCAAACTCATCAATAACGGAAAACGCTTTTTCGCATAACACCATTTTTTTCCCCGTGAATAATTTATAGAATATTATGTGCATGCGAAACGAAAACCCTGTAACTCGGGTGGATGCTACACACACTTTGCGTTCTCCGTTGACGGCCCCTTGGATATGCGTGTCGCTGCAACGTCAATAGCAGCTACGATATTATTACTGTTGACAGTGCTCTGCGTCCGTGACACGTATAAACTAATAATTACCGAATATTCCTGTGGGCGCGAACGTGTGTAACACATCGTGACGCTTAGTGATGGGAATAATCCAATGGAATAATCGAATCGTTCGATTATCAAAATGATCGAATGATTTTAACAATCCAAATAATGGTACCAGACGTATTTATCAAAACCAAATTAATTGAATGATTCGAAAAAATTACGTGTTTTACTCACTGCCCACTGGGTACTGCATTAAGAAGTCGACTGTCCATATCGGTATTGTATTATTATTTATTTTGTTTTTAATCATTGGTATCGGTAATCGCCGCACTAATATCGGTTTAATGCGTATAAATATTTTGATTGAAATTTCACTTTCACGCTTATACATAATCATTTGATTATTTATACAACCAGTTCAAGCAGTTAAATCATGATTCACTTGATTATTCGATTGTTTTGATTTTGTTTACTAATCATTCGACTACTTTTTTTTTTTTTCCGATTACTAATCATTCGATTATTCCCATCACCAGTTACGCGTATAACGCGTTGTGCGTTCCATAAAACATTAACGGCACCGTTGGGTCGTTGCGATGTCGTTTGCACCAGGCAAAACGCGATACACTATTAATTAATAAACGTCGTAGGCGAACATCGCGGTTGCGAAGATTTAAATTGTATTTTCGTTTATTTATTGTAGCTTTGTGCTACTATATATATCTACAACAATCTACGAACTATTTTGATTATTTACACATTAGGATGGCGCTTACAAGTATTTAAGAATAGATGACATTTTGAATCGAGTTGTATAAAACATATTAAAAAATAAGTTTATATAAAAAAAGAAAAATAATAATAAAAAAAAAAAAAAAAAAGGAAAAACGAAATAATTTATGTATAACACATAAAAATACTTATGTATGATATTATGAGAGTATGAAATAAATAATTTTTTTTTCCTCACAAGCGTCGGCGTATCAATTGTGGTCGACGCGTTTCGCATCGCACCGTTTAATCTTCCGTACGATCCTCGAACAAAACTCGGGGGAACCGAGCACGTCACCCAGAAATACGCTTAACATGTAATACTTCTTTTTGGCGGGTCCGGTTTCCATGTAGCCACTGAAAAAGACAGTTGATTACGAATCTTAGTCAATGCTTTGTTACATATTTCTATCGTTTAAGCGGTAAGATAAAATGTTTCGGGGTTTTCACATTAAAAATGTTACAGCATCAGACAAATTATTTTGAAACGAACAGGAGTATTTTTTATTTGGCTTAGATTAAAGAAATATTAGTCATAATCGTAAGTTATAGGTGAAGCTGGATTATAATTTCAGCGTATACTTAAAATATTTTTAGAAAAGTATAACTCGATAGATATATTTAGCGGAGATGATTTAGGTAGCTAATTTCAAAAAATTAGTGTCGTTACAGTCAACGAAATAAAATATAGAAATATCAGTTATACCATATGACGTAACAAATTATTTTAAATAGTTATTTAAGTAATTATTTGTTTAAAAAGAGAGCTAATCTATTTGACTATATGTGGAAAAGAATGAATCAAGGGAAAAAGAAAATAAATATCATAATCGCTTCTCCTGCCAGCATTCTATTGGAAATTTATGTCTGGATGTAATCGCTTATCAAAAAGTAAAAAAAAAAAAAAAAAACAAAGGTTTAACGCACCTGATGATCTTTTCCCAGTCCATTCGGTCCTTGCTGTCCTTTTCGTTGTGATTTTTTTTGGCCAGAGCGGTCGCCTCGGCGTACGCGGCGCACACCTTTTCGTAGACGCACGCGTCCGGTCCCATTTCTTTAAGGATCATCTCCTGAGCCTTGAGCAAGTCAACGGTGGATGTTGTCGAGGAGGACATCATGGCCGGCGGCAGCAAATGTCTTTTGACCTTTCTTCTGTAGGTGCCTGCATCGCGAGCGGGTGCACAGATTACATAAATAAATATTAGTAAATCAAATTATATTATTATCCTATTATACACTGTTGCTATTGTGAATGTGATCGTGACGAAAACCCGATCATGCACCGCCGAGATAATAGAACAATGTTGTTCATACGTGTGCTAGTGTGTGCGTGTCCGTATTGTTTTGTGCAATATCATCGTTGTACATACATTTGACGAACACACGCACTTAATGTTAAAATTACCATAATACTGTAACACAACAATGTAATACACAATTTGCGTAACTTTGCGGCCACGACGTGTAGCACGTGACCACTGGTCCGAGTGCTTGGTCCATTAGCAACTCATCGTGTCTATTTCTACGCAGACCCGCACACGTAATAATTGTACTGTGCGCGCGCGCGTCAATCTCTCACGATGACTCCTAATTAAACGTGAACTCGAGCGCTCAATAATCGAGCCCGTACACTCAAACGCGCACGCGTACAGCAAAACAACACCAAGGCGTTGAAGAAAATAATGAACAGCGCGTTGTGAAAATCTATCGGATCGAATTTCCACGCGGTTTTTACGGACCATCCGTGGTGAATTGATCGACGCGAGAATCAACGATTACATTGTGTGGCCGTGCAGCAAAACCCACGTTTTCACGCGAAAACAGATGTTCAAAACCACAAGTTTCGCAACTAAATCACGCCGCCAGATCAAACCATTGACACCTGGATTCGGCCAGTTCTGAGCGAACACAAAAACGCAACGCGTACGTACGTCCGATCGCGGTATGTTCCGTATAAACGGGAGCCTCTGTTCCACAGAACCTCAGTGTTCGTTGTACAATCATCCCTGTTTTACTACTACTTTTATAGACAGCGGATTTCGTTGCAACCGTATTTGCTGTCCGTACGAGTATCTTCCCCGGTGTTAGATTGATATATACTCTCCGGGGTAGAATACTTACGTACTCTGTCCACGATTTTCATCAAATATTTAAATACGTTTTTTAGTCTACTTTTATTAGTTTAATGAATAATTACGTTTGTAAACGTACGTCTGAGTTTCTTTTTGTTAATCAACCTCATCCGACGCAGTGATGTTTACGTGCGTTCGTCGTAAAAAAAAAAAAAAAAAAACCGTGTAATTACCAAGCAGTGAGAGTACGAACTGGTTACAGCAGTAGTATACAATGGAGTGTGTTGATAATGATGCGAACTCTCTTTATAGTGCATAGAAATTCGTTTTCAACGAAAATTAGATTAGGCCCCATTACAAATTATTCGGTAGACGTTGTACCGAATACGCGGGAAACTCGACCGAATCTAGAAACTATATTAACATATTCTTGGGTCCAACGCTATTCCGTCCTAGAAAGTCTACGACTGGTACGCGTAATAGAAATTAAAATAAGACCAAGCCTTTACGGGGAATTTAGAGCCGCCCTTGTTTTCTTAATTTGACAATGATTCGTTTTGTAATAAAATACTAAAATAATAATTCATTTTAGTATTTTATTACAAAACAAAGTGTAATCACTTTGTAAGTTAAACTTTTATTTTGACGATTAAAATTTGAACGAGTTCGTTGACTGATAGTGGTGAGTTATGTGCAACTAGGAAGCATCCGTGAGTATAAAATAATATACAATATATGCAACACGTTCATATATATATATGGTACCTATTATGCAATATACGAATAAAAAGATATATCTTATCGTTGCACGTAAAATCATTTAAAGTGTTATTTTTGAAACGATAACGAGACAAACTCGTAAACGAGTACTGCACGAATACCATATAATATATTTAATATGAAACTGTGTTGTTTGATATTCGCAATATCATTTAGCTTCGGGACATTTTCTGTTTTAAATGTCGACCCATAACCTATTAGGCTAATATGCTATTGTACACTGCTGCTGTAATTATACTACGTAGACGGTGCGTAGTTTTACTTCTGCACGACGACAATTATTCGTGCGTTACAGACCGTTTTCGACAACGTGCGTCTGAACGGCGAAATAATTGGAAACCTGGTAATGGAACGGTTAAGTTTTGCGTTAAGCGGAGGAACGAGAATCGGTAACAAAAAATCGAATTTTCGTGAAACACGATTTAGTCGCGGTGCCCCGGCGAGGCGGAAACTTTTTTTTTTTTTTTTTTACCGAACACGGCAAAAATCGTACGGAACCGTTGCGCCCGCGAACAGGGGACGACGATAATAACGCGCGGTCGCACGGACGAGACTTCCGCACGACCGTCACGTCCATGTCGGCGCTGAAGTGACCGACGACCGGGACCGAAGACGCGTCGAAAACAAGCGGATACGCGCGTCGTCCGTGCGCAGACGGACGGACCCGACGACGTGCGCGCGCGCGAGTCGTAAAACCGGTGAAAACGTTCGACCGGAGAACGAGTTTTACGTACCGGATTCACCTCTACCGGTCCGGCCCCGTGTCACGTTGAACAAAGCGAACGCCGACGGTGACCCACCGACGAGATCGCGTCTTGGGAACGCGACGAACACTGCCGATTCCGGGCGGACGGGAACGTTGCGATTCGTACGATTCGCGCGTATTACTTATTCTTTCCGCGTTACGATATCGAGTCGGTCGCGCGGCCCAACCTCACCGACCCGTTTGTCGCCGCCGGAACGGTGCAGCGTTGCGCAACGGCCACGCGCCCGATCGGGTCACGCGGCGGTCGGCAAACGGGTCGGCGGCGCGCGTTTTACGAAAATGTCGCGCGCGAACACGCGACGCGTTCGTCGATCGCGCGCGCGCGGCGGAAAATCGGATCGACCGGCGGACGGGAAACGGCGGCGCGGCGAACGCAACTTACTCGGGCTGAGCGCGTACGCCAGTTTCTTGACGAAGTTCGACATCCTCACGGCCATGATGATCACCGGGAAACCGATGAGCTGCACCGGGATCTCGAACGGGCTGTCTTGGGCCCGCACCTGGCCCGTGTTGGCGACCGTCGCGTCCTGCACCACGGTCAGCATCAGCAGCGTTTGGACGGCCAGCAGGCCGACGACGACGGCGGCGGACGGCACTAAGTGTTTCATGGCGGATATTCGCGGCGCACTGACGAGTAGGCGGAACGTGCCTGCGCGCGGACCACCGGCGGACGAGTGAAAGTAGCCGACGATCGGCTGAAAACGAAAGTGGCCCGTGCGCGCGTCACCGCGCGGTAGTGGTCGGCCGCGTTGCGCAACCGGGAACCTTGAAAAACCGCGTGCAGCGATGACGCCGTCGGAAGTACCCGGACCCCCCCCCCCCCCGCGCGCATCGCTCCTCGCGTTTTCGCCACGGCACGCGACCGTGTCGACCGATCCTAACCTAACAACCGCATGACGGGGCGCGCGGTCGGCAAACGTGCAGGAGGTGGGCGACCGTTTCCCGACTTCCTCGATTGCGGCCGCGTCGACGTGGAAAAGAAACAAAAAATAGGAAGAAAATTGGCGCGAAAAAAAATGTACCTACCGATAATTGTCGCGAAAAAACGTCTTCGTTCGAAAGCGTTCGCCCGGGTACGCTTCCCGGGAGCTCAACAGCCGGTATATACCTGCGTATAGCGCGCGGACCTGTTGCGTTACGAAACGTCGACGTAACGGACGCGCGGTGCAATGATTACGACGCCGCGGTAATTAGCCGGCACGGGTTTCGCCGAACGTTGCGCAACGCGCGCACATCGATTGCATCGTTAACCGGACCCTCCCCCCCCCCCCCGTCGGGGTGCGATGTCCCGCGGGTAAGAGCTGGAAACCGATGTGCTCCGGTTTCGGAAGACCGTTTCGCGAGTACTCGCCAGGGTTCGGTACGAGGTGAATCGACGGGCTCGACGTGCGGAAAAAACTTTTACACGTTCAATCGTGTTTTCGGCTTGAGCGCAATGCCAACCTGACAGCGTCCCCCGCGTACCGACAATCTTTTTATACGTCTGAAACACTTGATGTGCACATTACCAACACTCCGTACATCGTTTATCACGTCGTGCGACGGTCATTATTAGGCCCGCGATGTTTTCGCGGTATATACAAACGATCGAAGACAACACTACCGGTGAGTAGTACGTGTTCGGTGGACACGAGAAAAACGGTAAACACATTGTACGCGAGAGTTGGGGAAATGTTTGAAGAAAATCTTCTCGATGTAGGTAATACGGTTTTCGGTGTTGAAAATATCATCTGATGTTGACGTGGGCCAATGAATTCGGCGGAAAACTCGTGGGGCCGTACTCGTAATATTGTTTACTTTTATTTTGGAGGCCTATAACCTAGGACGAAACATCCATTTAGGGCGAGGGGACTTGACGTTTATAACCGATAATCTGTCGATCGAATGCACGGCGGTCGGTCATGGGATCTCGTTGTTTTATTTAGATTTACATGTACACTGGTGTACAGTGCATCGATATTAACTAGGCGCATCGTCATAAATTCATCGCGTGGCTAAACTCGTTACGATATAACGCTTGTGTACGTGTTATACACCCGTCGCATAACGCGTAATAATTGCTTTCGAGCACAATACAACGCCGGCGTAATTGGGTTACAGCGTGTTTTCGCAACGAGTTTTGACAAAGGTATTTATTTTTATTTTTTTTTCCCATATCCACTCACTGAGGTCCTCCGGCGACGCCCGTAGGTCACAGCGACGCGGCGCGCGACGTGGGAAGTACTCGTTGTAGGCCATTTAACGTGCATAAATAATGTTCGGCCCACACGTCTGCGGGACGTTCCGAGGATCACGTCCGCCGGCGGTTCAACAGGGCCCGAAAAGTGTTTGATTTTTCGCACCACGCGCTCGAAACGCTCGCCCGAGCTCCGCGGTCGAATATCGTACGGTGCGAACTTCTCGCCGACACTTTGACGCGAACAACACTCGTCCCGCCGAGTCGCACACCGTTTCCCGATCTCCATCGCGCACTATCCCGCACGTACTCAGAGCGCGTCTTCGGGCGAAACAACGATGCGATCGTTTTACCGTCGTCCGCCATCGGTCGGTCCAGCGTAGGCGGGTACGACCTCCGTGCCCGGAGAACGCACGGTGTACGCGACCGACGACGTCTGTTAGGATGAGATGTTTCGTGTGCGCGGCACAACGGTGGCCGTCAGTGGCGTATACAGAAAATATTTTCGTGAGGGGCTGCTATGGGCAGAGTTAAATTACCATTGCCGTCTAAGAATTTCTAACAAGACGCAGTAGGTACTTATCTACATTTCGTTTACAGAACGTCCCAAAACGATTTGAAATTCTAAATAAGCACAGAGCACCGTTAAAATATAACATACGTTTAAAATAATATTTAAGTTTTTTAAAACATTTCGGGGTGGGCTTACTAGGTTTCCCCCCTTTATGTACGCCACTGGTGGCCGTCACTGACCTAAGCCGACCGCGATGGAAGCGTTCGTCGTCATCAAAGAGTCCGCCGACGACCTCCAACCGTCGTCTCGTGACTAAAACGGTATTTCTTCACGTGCACGGGCGACGTTGCGCACGCATGTGTGTGACGTTACACACGCCATTGTGCGATGACCGTGTTTACTGACACGTATTTGGTTTTACGCTCGGCGGAGGAGGGTGCGACAAATGTGCAGTTTTTAATATTTTTTTTTTTTTTTTTTACTCCGCGTCGGAGATAGTTTTTTGGGTCACCGGTAAAAAATACGCGCGCACCTGTGCGTTATACGAGTGTACAAGTAACGAGAGGAGATGGAAATGAACGCGCGCTCGTTTTTTTTTTTTTTTTTCATCCTTATTCGTTTTTATTATTATCGTAGCGTGTCACGTTCGATAATCATTGTTATTATTGCCGTTCGGTCTGACACGTTCCAATTCGATCGCGTTTCGTTCGACTCGATCCGCGGCGAAGTCGTGCAACGTTATTCGCGGAGTGGGGAATAAACCGACGACAACAGGACGAACCGGAGGGAACACTGCGACGTTAACGATCGACTGGAGACCGTGGCGAGTTTTCCCCTGGAACGAAGACGGGTACAACTTGGCGCTCAAGAGGCGCGCGCGACGTCCTCCGCGCGCAAAACGCCGAAGCGCTCGCGGCTAATCGGTATTTCGCACGCGCACCGGTTATTGGCCGATGATGTCATTGTTGTGAAAGTTCACACGCGAAAATCCCGTCCGAGACCGCGTCGTTTCGTCCGCGGGTGGGCGACAACGAGTAGGCGTTTATTTTTCGCGGCACCGGCACGCGCGTAGTCTGCGCGGTCCGTCAGATCGAATTTGGCTCTCTTCGCCGTCCGAGCTCGGCCAACTCTCGTCCATCGACCTCTCCGAACCGTGTCCGTAATGGCCCGCGGTAAGTCGCGCGCCGGTCTCTTGCCCATCGTTCTGTGGTGCTGTTGTTGCGGCGTAACCGGCTTCACCGATGCTCCGGCCGGTCAAGTCGACGACGGCAAAAACTCCACCAGAGGGGTCGACGAGTTCTTGACGTAAGCATACATTTGCGCATCTCGCGTTCAATATCGGAATTCACGTGTGTTTTTCAAAGAAATAAAATATTGAACTTTTGTTTTTACGGTTTTTATTTATTTAATTTTTTTTTTTTTTGAATTCATCCATTTCGTCGCCCCATTATCGTCGTACAACGATTTATTCAATCGGTAACTGTGACTCTTTTAAACGAGAGTTTTTTTTTTTTTTTTACGTCCCTAATCAATTTTTCAGGAGACATTTAATCGGGGCTCGAAGGTACAAATGAACTCGGTTAAACAACGTATTCAGCACATGTAATTTAATTTTTCTAACATGACCAGGGAGGGGACGCTGATATCTTGTCGCAGATCTATTGATCATTTTTTTTGTCTTCAGGTCTCTAACACAAATGATCGGTATCGCGTTGAACTCGGACGCCAGATATTCGCAGTTGTTCGACAACGATGACGGACTACAACAGCCGGACGTCTCAGGTCGACCTAACCGACCGTCTCATTACTTCGAAAGCGGTCGTCCACCTTTCCCGCAGGACTACGGCAGGCCGTATCCTTCGCCACCGTATTTCGAGAATAACCGACCGCAACCACCGCCAGGGTATCCGGTTCAGGACGGCCGACCAGGGTTCCTCAGCGTTCGTCCACCGTATCCTTACGGTCCTTACCCGGGCCCTAACCGGTATCCACAGCAGAATTCCGTTTTGCAGGCACTCGGATCCATCTCGAAACACGACGATCTGAGATGCGTGCCCCGGTTGCTGTGCGAAGTGTCGTCCGGCACCAGACCTTCGACCGGCTATTACCGACCCGGTTATTATCAGCAGCAGCAGCAGCAGCAATCTTCCATACCGTTCCTCAGCAAAGACGCGCTGATCACGTGAGTACCTATACTTATTTATAGCCGTGCACGTCTATAAATTATATCCCGTATAATTCTGTGTCGCCACTCGTCGCCGCGAACGTGTAGGTACAAAATGTATAATATAATTTATGGTTGTGCTGCGCATCCGTAAATCAATCACCTCGGTCGTCGTTTCGGTCGTCGATAAATCACCGCGGCCGATCGGTGGTCCGTTCAGATAAGAAATGAAAAAGTGTCTTTGACGTGCGGATACGTGCTTTTTACGCCTTTCTAAGTGTGTTCCGGCGGGCTGTGGCGAGGGGCACGGCACGTAAACATTTCGCTCGGAGCTCAGATCGGAATTAACTTGTTTTTTAAACACCCTCCCGGACGCGGCACCGCCCACCCGTGCTCGAACGGTTATTTATTGCGATGTGATTTACCGCCGGGGGATGGGAAGGATAAGGAGCGGAAAAAATAACGTGCCGCAGCCAAACGGTGCGTGTGTACAAACGTTTTTTCGCCGACAGATTAACGACGACGACGACGTCTCCGCCGACTTCCACGGTGATTCCCCTCGGGAACCCTTTCACTGATCACTTTGCCGTTTCCCGCCACGTCGTCGACTCGGGCCGGCGACGTGCGGGTTTACGCGGTTATAGTTTTAAACGACCCGGCGCGAATCATGCGCGTCTGTAAGGTTCCCGAGCACATCATTACGAAAACGTTATGCTGCGGATAATCCGGTACACGGGTGGAGGGTAGATCCTTCGGCTCGTTACAATATACAAACGCAACGTGCACACAAAGAATATTATTATGTTTGTTCGTTTATTAAACGTGATCATACGTCGTTTTGACGTTTTAAAATTACGAATGTTCCTCCGCCCCCCAAACCACGAACGACTGCGCGATTCATACAATATCATATCAAAGTCGTCTAAAGAATCGCACGTTATTATGATGATTTTACTTTGCGCACGCGGTAGAGAACCAAATATCACTACGTACGTACATCACCGTCTAAATATTATTATTCACGGCGTTCGTTTACAAAGAGAATCAGGGGAGTATTTAGACTTACTTCTAGGGGGGGGGGAGTGTGCACTCAAATTTTTTCTTTAATTCAGGCTCAAAATGTACAAGTAAAATTGTTGGTAATATTTAAAAAAAACAGGTGAATCCTTAATATATATATATATATTTTTTTTTTATCTAATGCCGGATCCACTTAGAATCGACTTTCGTATAGTTCTTCTTTAACACCTGTCTGTGTTTTGAAAGTTACGCTTGTATTTTATTTGATTTTTCACTAAGTATGGACCTGACAATAAGCTCAATTCAGTATTCACAGCCATGCGTGATTTGATTTCGTTATAAAATTATCTATATTGAAAAAACTTGAAATGTGTATCTCACATATAATCAATTACTTAAATACGGATTCAGGGGGGGGGGGTGATCGCCCTTTCGCCCCCCTAAAATACGCCCATGAAGAGAACATTTTTAAATCCAACCTTGGCATCCATTGCAAATATTTACACGTACGACAATCGTTTCAAGTAAATAATAATATACGTACACCTACACGCTGCGGATTGCCGCATTGTGCGCGACAGAGCGGTACAAATTATGTTACGATGTGTTTGTTTGTAAATACCAAAAGTGGGTCTACTACTACTATGCACGTATTATATTATTTATGTTATTACGATCGGTGTCCTCCGCTCCGCGTCGAGTGGAATATTATTACGTAGTGCGCTGTGACTTATTGAAAAAGCCGACTCGTGTATTCGCTCCCGGAGGCGTGGGCACGTTCGCGTTAGTTTGGGTGTCGATATGTAAATGAAAGAGTCGTCGAACTTAAGCGGATTTGCATACGCTGCGGATCGCGATATTGTTTTTTCCTTTCATTCTTTAACTTTTACTCGACGCTCGGAACGCACCCCACACAATCGGTGTCTCTTTTAAACTTTCCAAACACGTATCATCCCACTGGCGCGGCACACGGTAATACGGTTATAGAAGTTAATCTTTAACGGATGCGAAAAACGTGGCTCGTTTAACGATAAACCGCCCGAGAAAGTACGCGACGCGGTCAAACATGTTTGTCGTATCGACGCGTGGTCCAAACATCGTTTTAGATGTTGTGTACGATATAAAAGACATTTTCTTAACGAATATTTGTATTTTCCGGTGCAAGTTGCGCAATTACTCAAATGCTTTAGTGAATGTCGCAATCGTTTAGTGGACTTGCTTGTTCGCTGAATAAAATCAATAACTATTCAATACGTGTAACAACGAATTACAGATTTGTGATATCAATAAAATTTTATAATTATAAAAATCGGGCCATGTATGGGTTGAGTATAAAAAATAATGAATACAATTTGTCTATGTGGTACAGTAACAAATGAACAGAATAATAAAAGGCAAATAAAATACGTGACCAAATGAATAATAAATATTACAATATTATAAAATATAATGATAATAAATGTCTTGGTCGGCGCACAGAAATTATAATATAAAATTATAATCATACAGCTCTTATGTGTTAATAGTTAGCTTACCCGCCTACCATAAAATTCGATTATAACGGTGCCGAGATTCGTAATAATATAAATACAATTATTAAAAATGCAGCAGTGCATTTCTTCCCGTTAGTTTCTTTCAATCCCGTTCACGCATAAATATACACAGAAATGCTGCAAAGTGCATTGCGAAGGAACAAAAAAAAAAAAAAACATTCACTATGCAGACCGCATGAAAAAATAACCACGCTTTCCACAAACGATTTGTGATAGTTGATACTCCTAAGATTAAAAAAATAATTTTACGCTGAGCAATACGTATATTAGCAGGACGATTCAACAGAACGTCGTTTCGACAATTTCACTGTAGATAGACATCGAAATGAAATACGATGTCAACACGAACACGGATAATACAGGAAACATAAACGCTCGGAACTGCTGTGCTAAGGATGGTTATATGGTTAGTTACTTATCCGGGTTAAACGAGTCGTTTGTCAGCCATTCGACGGGAATACTTTAGGACTTGTGGAACTTGAGCTAATGACAGTCGATACGACTTTACTATAAAACGCTTTTTAGCGTTGCATGAAACTTTAGACACAAAATCATTTTTTGCTCTGCGACTTAGGATTACGATTTTTCTCATTTACATCTACAACCGCAGTCGCTAACTTAACATTCATTGACACAGATAGCTACAGATGGTTCAAATGTTTTGGTAACTATTACAAATTGTGCGTGCGTGTGTTAGGGCATGCATGGAATCATTAACGTGTTTTTTATTTGTATTAATATTATTGTTACAAAACAGTGATGTCCTATATTTTTTTTTTCTCATCTCTCAGCGGGCCACTTTGGTAAAAAATTATCTTACAGCGGGTCACCATATAGCAGTACGAATAATATCAATATTAATCTAACAATGGTATTTTGATACGCATAGTACATGTACACGTTGAATTTGTATTTTATTGACAACTGAAAGGACTGCAGATCGAGGTACACGTAGTTGGTATACATTAATTCGATCAGCAAGCTCTTTTAAATGAACGGGTTGTATCGTGACATTTCTATTTGAAAATGCTGGAAAATCAAATTAATACATTTTTTAAAAAAATTGTATTTTATAATATATTTTTTTTTTAAATATTTTGTTTCATTTTAAAAAATTTGTTAACTGGCCAAATCGAATACCGGTTGGAATACGGGTTGGGCACCATTGTTATTATGGATTCTGGCACTATAAAGTATTAGAGTCACATGTTTAAGGTAGGCTGTGCACATTTTACTGCATGGTTAAGCCAATGGACTAATTATTGATTCATTAGAATTGATGATTATAGTTGTATAATAATTGCTGTTCTCCGACTAAGGCATTTTTAAACATCAAATTTTTATAATATTGTAATGTTGATTATTCATATATACGGTTGTGTCACCAATTTAATTTATCATTGTCTATTTTATTTGTTATTAATAGTTATAAATTATTTTTTACTGTGTCATATAGATAAATTGTATTTATTATTTACTATACTATGCCACAAGGTCTGATTGTTGTTATTATTATCATTATTTAATTGTTCTTACTCAATAATTTTTTTTTTTTTAACAACATTTTTATTTTTAAAATGCTTTTAAAAATTAGTTTGATATTTTTTTTTTGTGGTTTACATTGAATTAGATAAGATAATATACAAAAAGAGATTTTTTCCTTGATTTCAATTAGGGCTCCTTCAATTGAGTTTAACCTTGAGTAGAATATTTTAAACTGGTATTTGATCTATATGACTAGGAATGATATAAGACCAATGTAATTATTAAGCATGAACGAAAGTGATTTAAAGGCTATTCTAAGAAATTTATTCTGCATAGTCTGTACATTTTTTTTCTTTTTTCAATATACAGCGATCCATCTTGTATATTCATGTTATTAATGTTATATTATTGATATATAAATCAGAAGTGAGCATTTAATTTGTTGTGTTGAGCTATAGTTTATGAATGGATATTATTTTATTAAGACCATTATAATAAATAGTTATTTATTTCATTCAGCGAACATGCCACTCCATTATTATTAGGGGTACTTGCCACGCCAACATATTTTCACCCCCTACATTTTTTGTAGCGATATAATGAATAGTTTATTATGATGATAATTAGAGAAAAAAAATGCGTTTTTTTTATCACTGCAGTGATATACACTATATGCTTTTCAATACAATCAAAAGTGCTCGACACTGCAAACATTTGAGTTATAAGTGTATTAAATTAAAATTATTGTAGACAATTTGGAAACGATTTGATTGAATAAAAAAGTTTTATCTGATCATATAAATTAATTTTAATCTGAGATGTACAATATATTAATGTACAATCCACGCCGTTAATTCATTATAAAACTTTACGTGTATGTACGCAGGTTGCTTACCGTGCTGAACTTTGTGGACGACTCGCCGCTGCTGATGTTTGGTCGGGCCGCGTTATTGGGATACAATGCTAGGGGTGATCCCAGATCGTGCACAACCGCATATCCGACTTGTCCCAGGGACCCCGACCAGCTGATCAACTACCTGAACAACCACAACGGTGGTTTTTTCCGGTTCTTCAACCAGCAATTGCCGCAGTACGCTCCTCAGTACGTGCCTTTCCAGCAACCTCCTTACCAGCAACCCCCTTACCAGCAACCTCCTTACCAGCAACCTCCTTATCAGCAACCTCCTTACCAACAGCCACCTTACCAGCAGCCACCTTACCAGCAGCAGTACGCTCCACAGTATACGCGACCCCAACAACACTTCGGAGTCGGATACAAGGCGAGGGCAGATCGCAGTGGGCCAGACGATTATTTGGATCAAAGACCGAGGATACTCAGCGGTTCGGCCAGCCAGTTCTACGACGTGCCCTCCGTCCACGACCTGCCGCTAGACGTGACCGGATCGTCAACCATGGTATTCCCGTCGGACGATCATACCGGCGTCGCAAGTAGCGGGTCGGCATTGCCATTCACGTTCCCGTCCGATCATGGCGGAAACCGACAAGCGAAACGGGTTAAGATGATTTTCCCCGACCGGACGGGCACGGGCGGGCTCCGGGCTGAACTGGACAAGTACGGCAACTACAAGGGCGTTTACTATGCGGACGGTACGATCAAGTTCGTCGATGACGGAGGGACGCGCGGTGATGTCAAACGACCGCCGTCCAAGATCCGATTGCCCGGTCGGCCGGCCGACGACTTCGAGGTGCTCGGCAATCGTTTGCCGTACGAGAAGCGTCGCAAACTGCTGTTCCCTAAAAGCACGTGATCGATGATGATGATGATGATGATGATAATAATGATCAACATCACGTTCCACACCGTTTTGTTGTACATAATACGGATCATAATTATGTGTAAATGCTCATCGTTAGTTTGTACATTTCGCAATGGGTTTTATTCTCATCATTGTGCGTATACAACGAAAACAAAAACTTAACTTATATTAACTTATATTACCTATATACAATAATATACACGTCTGCGGAATCATTCTATAATTAATTTATATTAAGACTATATTAATTTATGTACATTAAAATCATAAGATACAATGTTATTGTAATATACTCGGTTATAAAAATGTTTTATCGTACGCGTAATGTTACACAAAAAACGAAATAACGAGTGCGATTTCGATTTTAAGATGTCGACCTGATGGTCAAATACATCGTAACACGTGAGATTATAAACGTTCGGCCGTTGCAAGACGTGTTCGGTGCACACTGCATTGGTTTTTTACCGGTCTTCGATAAATCGATTTGAACACTCGTTAAGCAACAATCAGAGCTTGTGCTAAGGAGTAGTTCTAACCAATATGGGTAGTTATAAATAAGTCAGTATCAAAAATCGTGAATTTTCTGTATTATTGGAATATGTAATATTGTTTAACTTAATTATGTATTTTATTTAATATTTTTTGTCAAATAAAAAATAAATAAATATTTTAATCTGTTATTATTATTTACAAATTGTAATAAATAAAGTAATGTATAAAATGTTTACACGTGTAGTCGATATGTAGTCTAGTAAACAATGATTGTTAAGCGAATTTAACGAGTGACAAATTTATTTAATCTGCACGTGCAAAAATATTAAAATGTTGGACAGTTCTAAAATTTTCTTAGCGCAAGCTCTGGCAACAATGATAATAATATTGATAACAATAATTTATTACAATTTATTTATATAACACGTTTGCGCGTGCGTGTCGTAGTACGACATTTTATACATTTCGAAGACTAGATTCGTTGCGCCGGTGATTCACAGGATTTTCACTTTTTTCAACATTTGCATCACTTGAAGACCGGGAAACGGACATCCGGGATAGAAGTTGTGACATCCCGTGTTGTCGATGCCGTTGATGAGTTGGCCCATGTGCGCGGCAAAGTGATACTTGGACGTTACTTCGGCTGTAGTCGATATGGTGGTCTCTCTGTTAGAAAAAAAAAACAATCGATTAAAAAAATAATATTTTTATTATATTCGACTGTAAGTAAGTATTCGCCATCGATCTGACGCGAATAAAAAAAATATTCAATACAAGTTGAGATAAGAATATGATACGCACATATAATACTAAGAACCAAAATTCTTAAATCGAATGAACCGGAATTGTGCTCTTACTTGTTAGCAGTGTATGGTTGAACTCAAGGAGGGGGTGCTCGGAACTACAACTTTTATTGTAATATTACATTATATCGATGATGAGAATCTTTATCGAGTGGATATAAAAAAATAAATAAAATAAACTGTATAAAGTCAAATCACGTGAAACCGTCAGCTTTCGTTAAAAAAAAAAGGAGATAATATTGTGAAATATGAATTTAAAAACTTGATATTTTATTTGCTCCACTGAGGGTAAAACGTATATAATAGTAATATATGAAAACGTGACGTTTAATTTTGCCGAGCGAAAAATTACGATTCCAATCTCTGGCCGCGGTGGTGGTGCTCCTCCCTCCGCTACAGACAAATCCCCAAAGGATTCTCCCCGCGCTCGGAATTAGGAATGTACGTGTACATATATATATATATATATATTTCGCCGTTAAGGATCTCCTTGCCCCGCGACGAATGAAAAATAATAATAATAACCTTTTGAATATTCACAAAAGGAGAAAACCTGCCGAGGAAGCCCGCTATTTCCTCTTTATATTATTATTATTATTATTGGCCCGTCGTCGGAGATCGGTGCGCGCGATCGGTGATGGTAATAATATATTTTCCTGGCGCCAAACCCTACGAAAAAAACTCTCGGTTTAATTTAAACCAAAGGTCGTGAATGATACGCTCGGGGGGAAACGCGCGCATAGCACGTACGACAACAATAAAATTATAAATCATATTGGCACCGGGGAGGGTAAAAACTGTTAACAAAATGTGTCCGTGTGATTATAGCCGATCATTTTCGTATGCACGGAATACCACGTAAAATCAAAACGTTTTCGTTTCGTGTGAACGGTTAAATATATTTTGCCTAAACGTAATATTGGTTAGTTCAATCGTGATAAGCTTTAAAACGCGTACACTATAGTGTAGTTCAAGTAGGTGTACGCAATATGGCGATGGGCATAACTATGATTTATCGTTCACGATCGATTTCGTCACGCGCGTGGTGTTTTTCATAGAAAACGTTATGATATTGTGTCGAGGTCGACGGCAGCGTAAGTACGTGGCGTGTACACGGTTCTGCAGTCGCCAATTGTATTGTACGATATTATCATCTCCGGTAAATTCGAACTGTATCCCATACGTAGAACACGACGATATTATTAAGATTAAGATTTTTCTCGGCCATATTTCAGTTTGAACGGACGACGGGAGTAAAGTTTATTTATTGAAATTTCGTCATTTCTACTACGTCTACTCGGGCATATTTTCGTGGCTCGTGATAATACACGATATGACTTGCGATCAGCGATCAATTTTCGGGAAAAGCAAAACGTGTAAAAAACAGGAAATAACCATCCGTCGCGATGGCAAAAATGATATTATTATCTTCGACATTGGCTTATGGTCGTATTTAGCTCGATAGAATGGCCTCAGTTTTGTGCGATTTGGGAGTCATAATTGTTATTGCGTATTTCGAAGGATACTTTCTAAAAACCAATTGTGTTCGTGCAGCATATATTATTGAACAATAAACTATAGATGTATAAAACTATTTATAACTATAGATCGTAGTACGTATTTTTAAATCGCGATCGCTGCCTAACGCGACCTTTCCCGAGGACATGCCTACAGTACGCAGTCGTAGTACAATGCAAAATCTGCTGCGTCGATTCATTATCGGAATAATAAAACAATAGCCGTGTAAGGACAACGCGTATTCTTACGACGAAAATCGTCGCCCGGCGCTTAAGGCAACGCGCACGCAAACCGAATGATACGATGTGTTACGAGCCGTTTTTGTCGAAACGTGTATTTTTCCGTTTTTTCTCCGTCATCGTGAACACGAAACGTTGTACAAGTTTTAACGGTAACACATTTTCGCGTCTCGCCGGATGAGAACAACAAGAGGAGGCGGAAGTCTACTATTTATGTTTGAATAAATTCGATAACGCCGGAATACGTGTAAAGAATCCTGCATACGAACGCGAGCAATTATTATTATTGCTACGACGTATTTTATACACTATACAATAATAATAATAATAATAATGTTATATGCATATTCGCATTATACGCGCTTGCGTTATCGTGCGCTTTCCGCGGTGTACTTTGGCGCGCGAAAGATTTATGACGAACGGCGAATTACGCGCTCACGACGCAGGCGAACGGGGATTTTTTTTGCACTTTTTACCCGTTTTTTTCCCTGGCTGTTCATCTTCCACTCCTTCTTCGGGTCGTAAATAATGCGCGTGTACGTACGCGCACCACTTTTCGGCTCTCGCGATTTATGATCGTCTCGCGTACACAATAATAATAATGGTTCGTACGGGTAGGTTTTTAAATATTTTTCTCCCTCGACGCGACGAAATCCGCGCGCGCCGAGTGAGCCAATACGTTTTATGAGCCGTAACTCTTCCGCACGCCAAACCCATTGTGTCTGTCAACGTTGCAATACGCCGCGGAGAAACGGAGGAAAAGGACGAGGAAGAGGGATAAGGATAACCGGAACGCGCGGGAAGAGTTATTCCTGCACCTTTGTAGCCGTATTCCAGCGCAACAGACGAACGACATACTGTGTGATGTATTCTTCGTACCTATTATCGTATTGTGTTCGTGTACTAGGCTATGTATCTTGTGGTACGTACATAAGGTGAAAACGAAAGTGCCCGTCGGTTCGCACCGGTGTCATTACTCAATCGTTCGTCGGCTACGGCCGGCGGACGACAAATTTGAAAACATTATATGCCCGTCGAGAGTGTCATTACACGGTGAAGTCGACAACGAGAGAAATCTAAAACCTTGTAAACAACATACGATCGTACCATAGACCTAGATATAATCGAGGGAAATTGATAACCGACGGACGTCTATCGTAGCCATCTTTGCATCTTATCAGTACATTTTGCACTTCCTTGGTAATGGTCGTCATCATGTATGCTGGGGTAGATTTATGATGTAGCGACGTGGCGATCCTTTTCTCCCTTCTTTGGGATTTTAAATTGCTCAAATAACGGTCAAGTATTATTGTACCTAATATATCACTCAAAAATATCCCTATTCACTCCCCCCATTAAACAAGTTCTAGGTCCACTCCTGCAGGTATGTCTGTATATTATATAATTTTTGTTTTCTAGACGATCATGAATTAAAAGCTTGATTCGTGGAGCGAATAAAAGTATGGGGTTGAAATGTCAAAAAGCATCTTTTGTTGACCAACTATTACAATTTTAGTGATAGACTTTATTACGAAGGAAGAATATCTATAGTTATCGTGAGAATGTCTATTGCATTATATAAGGAGAAATTAAAGTTTTACCGATTTTTTAAGTAACAATATCGTACGCGATATTTATCGTTCCGAAATTTAACTTCTGCATCGAGAATGCAATTAAATCAACACTCTACATCTCTTTTCCCGTACGTTTATTTGTCGACACTTTTTCAACGAGTCTTACGGTTTTATGATGGCAGCACCTTTCGGTCAACCCGAAACGCTTATAGATATTTTGTACTTATAAATATTATTTTCTACCTTATCAACGAAAGTAGGTATCTTTCGGATTCGGTCAGTGAGTCCCGGTTTGTGGAAGCCGTCAGCTCGCAGATCAGTTTGGGTAGACACGAATCTTTGATGGTGTTGACCAGTTTCATTTTGGCCGAATACGACTTGGCTGGAAAATAAAAATGGAAAAAAAACGATATATTTATGCGCGGTAATTCACCTTTATCGATATCCATAGATCTCTACAATTTCTAATCACGCGTAAGGTATACGTCGATGGCACGTGTACGTATTCGACGAGCCGATGAAAGTAGACCGACTGGTATTGTGGAAACGCGTAAAACAAATAGCGTGTGGTCATGTCGGCACCTAAACTTAATATTATGTATAAGTATATTGCGCGCTGCGGACGGTTGCATAATTCGAAATTCGGTCGGACTGGTCCGGAAATCGAATACGAAAAAAAAAAAAAAAAAAAAAACAAAACCCGATTACATTTCACAGCAATTAGTGCTTACGCGTAATTATGTGTGCAATGTAAACCCGATGAATTGTTTACCGTAAAAATTACCGAGTACATACGGGTGCGGAAGAAAAACACGTGGAATACATGTGAATTTCTAGTGGCAGTCGATGCCGTTTGATCGTTTTAAACGTTTCGGTCGTAAAACGAAATAGTTTTCAAAATGTTATACTGTTACATGCAGAGAGTTTGCAGTTGATCCGTCATCAGTCACTCGCGCAAAAAACGTGTCTACGTGTCTTATGGGTGTACTTTTCCGCGGAGTAAGTGGGCGGAAAAAACATTACGGGAGAAGTAAACGAAATATAATGCTATTTAGTACGGCTCAGATTGTAAATAAATGTACGTATAATTACGCGTGTCTGACGTACAGTTCGTACAAGGCCGCCGTGGACCTTGAGCACCGATACAATGATTATTAATATTACTAGTCCGTGCTGTGGCAACGAAGTTATTTTGAAACGATTAAAACATACGTTTTTTTTTTTTTTTTTTGGAAACCCGAAGCGATACTTGTAAAACCGAAAAAAACGTGTGGTTAACAAACATAGGCGCAACTCTCTACATTTTTTCATAGTCCTCCGAGATTGAAAATAATAAGTCTCAAAATTTTGAGATTGAAATAAAACTCATCATCTACGTCTATAATATTTATCCACGAAATAATTTATTTTGGCTTATATATCCATAATCAAAATTTGGTCGTAAGATCGTGTTTTTTCATCCTGTTGTTAATAATTTGAACTAAATTTATATTAGCGAGTAATGGCAAGTTAGGTCTGTACATAAATTAGCAGATTGGTATGCGAGGGCGTAGCCCCTGCGGGTCAGCGTTATCTCGGTACTCTAAACTAAACTCTAGTTGCGCCTATTGTAATAAGAGATATTATCCCAAAAACATTGTAGCGAAACCGCATACACGTGGTTGATTACGCGGCCCTCGAGTCAGTGCACAGTGTCCACAAGAAGTGCTTCACGACGTGTTATCGTCATCGTCATCGTCACGTCCGAACCGTGCACTAGCTGCCTCGCCGAACCGAACGCCGAGCTTACCGAACGCTTCTAGGTCGGGATCCGCCGCCGCAGGGTTCGCGGTCGCGGCCGCAGCCTCCGTCGTGGCGGTCGCGTCTCGGTCACCGGCCGCCGCGGACCGCTGATGCCGCTGCGACTGTTTGCCGTATCCCGCCTCCTCGAACACGTGTCTGACCATGCCGGCCAGGTCGCCGGTCAGCAGGAAGAATAACACGACGAGCACGACGAATCTCGTCAGCCCCGAGTCCATGTCCCCGTTCGCGGTTGCGGTGAGTTTCTCGGAACCGTCGCGGCCTCAGTGTCGTGGCTGGGACGGTGCGCGCATTACGGGTCCGACGTTGTTTGGACGGGTCGCAGCAGGGATCCGTGGTCGTCGGCGACCGTCGGTGGACGTTCGAGCGGAGGAGAGAAAAAAAATTACAATATCGCGCGACGAAACGCGAACCGACTGCGTCCGTCGGCGGTGGCAGCGGCGACGGCTTCGCGCGGCGCACCGGCGTCGTCCTTCGCCCCTCTTCCCTCGCGCGCCCGACGGATTGGCGATTCGAACACGCGCGCACGTTACGTGCACGCATCGCCGATGTTATGTTACGCGTTTAATGTTGGTTACCGTCGCGTAACCGCACTCGTGGTGGGACATCGGGTGCCCCTTCTCTCCCCGGTCACGCCGCGAGCGACTTAATGTGGAACAAGTGAAAGTCGGATTGGGTAAAAAAAAAAAAAACGACAACAACAAAGTGGCCGCCGAGAACCGTAACGCTTACCGGCATCCGAGTCGGCGGGCCGGGAGAACTGGCAACGTCGCGACGGCGACCTATCTCGCGCGATCTTCGAACGGCGTTCGAATAGAAAGTGAAACTGTTGCGGTACAGATACTCTACGCCGCGCAACGACTACTACTCACGCTATTTTTTTGTGTTACGTACCGTTGTCGTTATTGTTTCGGATCCGGTGGCGGAGTGCCGTCGGACCGCGCGCGCGCGCGGTGGTACCTTTGTTTAACGAACGTTAATTGTTTTGCATTATGCACTCGAACTCGTCGGGTTGTAGCCGATTCCCGCGGACGGCCTGAACAAAACGGATTTCGATTCGTCGCGCCGACCGGTAGGGAGACGTAACGCGGCGGCCACGAGGGTCGATGGGGGTAAATGGCGAAATCGATCGGTGCATCGACAATAGATAAAGCGGAAAACGAAATTTTTACGGAAGTACGAAACGACAATGCGTACACACGGTTTCGAGTGTTTGCGGGAACTCGTCGAGTGTGTGCAAATATAGTGCGTGTACGCCGTACAACGCGCGCTCTTGCAACGACCGATTCGATTGCGGGCCGACGGGAGGGTCGCGCGACTGACTTCTCGTTCTCGACCGCGTTTAACATTGTACCGTATCGGATATTATTTTTACAATACAGTATCGAGTACAACAACGCGCTGCGGACGTGTACACTTATTGTACCGGACGGACCCGCGGGGTATTGTTCGCGATCGCCGGCGCCCGTTGCCCGAACGACTCGGCGCAGGGTTAACTCGAGTGGTCCGTTCATTCGGCATTCCCCGACCCGTTCCCGTGGTTCGGAAAAAAAAAAAAAAAAAAAAAATGTTTAATGCCGTCCGCGACAACCCTACTTTCGGCCCGGTTCGACCGCGGCGGCCCGGCCGGTAAGAGTTTTCCGGTCAACGAGCCCTGCTCTTCGTGGACGTTCGATTGCGCGCAAATGTATTGTATTATAATACGCACTCGACGGAGAGCAACGTTTCGCGTTACGCTGATATTCGTGAACGTTACGCGCTGACATTGTTCGTAACGTAACAGTTGGTTTTTATTTTCTCTCTCTCGCTCTGTCTCTTTGTTGGCTCACGGTCGTCGACGTACGAAAACATCACGTCTTCTGTTCGATTTAGATCTACGTTTTCCCCGATCACCATCGTACCGGTAAAATCGAATTAATCGAAATCACTGCTGTTAGTTATCGTTCATGATTTCATCAAAGCGCTTGATTTTCGATAAACTATCAAAACAAGCACTAAAAGAATGCTCTTATAATCAAAAATATGCCCCTTAAACCAAAAAAAAAAAAAAAAAATTGTCCAAATACGAAAAATTATGCACTATAAACTTTGAGTATTTCATCATAAACGTTATGAAATGTATTTTCTACTTACCAAGCATACGATAAAGTTAACCATGAAATGCAAATGTATGAGAGTCCTTGCTCTAGTCTACGAATTTCCCAACTGTGCGCGCGGTTAATCGTGAGCGCCAAACATAAAATAGTATACCCAAACCACACAACGGGTGTTCGGTTATCGGTTTATCATTGCGTTATCCGTGCGATCGGGTAAGACACGCGATAAAGTGACCGCGATATGCCATAAATATCCATTTCAGGGATATTTTCGAAGCTTTTTCATCGAAGTCGTAATTACTATCGCCCTATAATTTTAAAATAAAATTAGAACATCCAGTTCGAATGTTATAAATATTTAGTGTACTTCAAGGTGTTTCAGGATCGCATACTAATTTGTTAGACGTTAACTCTACGAATATCATAAAATAAAATATCGAACAGAATTTATCGCAACATTATAGTGGTGCAATAAATTGACACAAACAACCATATATTCTCACAAATAAAAGTTCGTATATGCTCGTATTGTTATACGTTTATAATACGATGTAAAATGCGTAGCTCTGAAACGAGAACTTTTACAGCATTTGAAACACCGAGCAATGCGGATGCATTTCAAACGAGACCGTTTCTACAACGTAGCAGATGTTTTGTTTTAATGGTTTATACTATTGAAACATTTCAATATTTAATATAAATAAAACATAATAAGGCACGGGATAGCCTGCAGAAGGATTTTCTACTACAGAATCATGAGCTGAAAATTGAAACAGTCTACGAGGAGTATATTGGGGTTTGTTTCGAATAGAATAGTTTTCTTGCACCGTTTTGGACAAATCAACATTGAAAATGTGTCAGGTTATTGAATAAATAAAAATTAAAAAATTATACAAATTTACCACGTAGCGGTTCACATCAGAATTTCGGAGGACCGGATTCTGTGGTATTTATGTAATAGTATTACATAGTACATGCATACGAATTTCACCGTGCGTTCTCTAACCAGATGCATCGAACAATCGGCCGCTTCGTTGACATCAGACCGCATCGAAATCGACCCCAAAAGGATTCTGAATACGCCGAAAAATGTTCTTCAACCGTACGATCGCCTATAACCTTTTTTTTTTTTTTTTAAGTAAAGCACTACATGGGCGCCGAACTATTTTCACATCGCTTAACCCCCATGCAGCATCATTTATTGAATAAAATGAAATCATATACAATATATACACATTTGATAAGCCCTCGAAGGTCCGGAACTACCTTCCTAAGCGGGTAATGGTGTGTATGCGTAGAACAGGAGTTCAAGCGAACAAGTGTACTCAACTTACATTGGGATACACGGGACATGCTCCGCATTATGCCCTTTACAGACCTAGAATTAATATTTATATATATGTACAACCGCGTGGTAGTGTCTTTTCGGGCCGACCAAGGATCGCTGCCCTAGAATGATACTGATAGCCTATTCGCAGACCTGTCTAAGCCAGTCGTCCATACACCTATCACCTAGCCCGAAAGAATATAACATACGTAAAAATATTTAACGTACCTACTCGCTGTTGTATCTCGTATTTACCCTTTACGACAACAATATTCGTCGTGAACGGATCCGTGACGAGGGAGAGGGGAAATCGTATAATATTTTAATTTCTGGGTTTTATTCAGTGCCACTTGAGCGGTACACGTACATTTTCCCTAGTTCGTAATAACTGTGCACATATAATTGTCGAGATCCAAATAAAATCAATAGTCACATTATAATATAAAATTACTGGAAAACAAATATTTACGGTGTAACGATAATCTCAGACTTGTTGTAGCAATACAATTGTAGATCGCTTATTTGATGCGATATGGTAAACTTGGTTTCCATGTTTCTACCAGGTAAACATAACGTTGAAGTGCTTAGGATCGGTAGAGCTTATTTCCGATCTCGAGAGGACCGTGTACGTGAAATCTACATGGCCCTGCACTTGATGATGCAATGAGACATCTGCAAGTCGGTTTTCAACGTTGCACCGTTCATTCGGGATGAACCAGTGAAAAAGCAGTGAACTCCGCGACAGTTCATTTTTCGGTCCTGGTTCGTTAAAGACGTTATCGTCGACCGTCAAGAGCTGAACAAACACGCGCTTCCTGGTCCTCGTGGAATTAGCGCGCGAAAACATCCGAGTACCAGTTTACACAACGTATATGCGCGCGTTTTATTTTACAATGTTGTATTGTGTACACACAGGGCGAGGAGTCGAGAGGGGGAGAGAATGGGAAACAAAAAAAAACCTAATGAAAAAACACGAGTCCAAATGAGCTCACTTGAAAAGCATTAAAACGTCCCCGACATCGAGAGTGGCCCTGCCTGCACTGTCGCCGAATATTATATTATTGTCCACCGCCGCAAGACCTCTTTTGTGCGTACGTGCACGTGACGTCGAGAGCGTTCACGAGAGAGCACTAACCGAAGTCGCGTATACCATTATTGGCGGAACGTTGAAAATTTGAAATAATCTTCCGAAATCTGCTCAAGTGCTTAACAATACATTCCGAACCAAAATGTGTACTACGATAATCGTTAAGAATACACGGCGCGTTACACTTTCACAATTTTCCGCTATTATTATGCTGATTTCCTGATGGTTTTTTTTTGTTTTCGCATAGCTTTCGATTAAAATGCGGTATTTATCCAACGTTAGCAGTGTGAACCAACTGTGCTCGTTATCCATCCGAGTCGGTAGAATTTCACAAAATTTTCAACCGCAATGTGCAGTAAAAAATTATTGCAGCACATATCACATTCCGTTTTTTATTCCTTTTTAACTGCACAAACTGCTCAGAAAATTTGTATTTTTTAATTTTTTTTTTTTTTTGTTTTTTTTTAACAACAAATCGTTAGCGATGATTGTTAACAAAAGTGTGATCAATACGGAAAAATGTATACGTACGAAAATGTGCGTGGAATAAAATTTATGCCGACCGCTGGACACGGTGAAAGGGCGCGTGCGCTGCGGTTCCATGTTCTCATCGGTTTGCCCGTAGAAATATTTGTTTATAATACGTTGTAATACGTTGCTCACCTTGGTCGCGATTTTTATACTACGTGAATATTTGCTATTCAACACCATACGCTGTTGCAAAACCTCGTAAATTATGTGTACCCAATGCAAGTTAAATGAAAATATTTAACTATTATAAGCATATCAAATATTATCTCACGAGTGTTATAAACGTATCATACCTACGTTTTATCGTTAAACGTTTATACATTGTTAGTAGTGTACAAGCAGCATACTAAACATGTGTAATAAAATATGTTTAATCGTCATCGGTGGTCGTGTAAATTAAATTCACGTATTGTTTGTGTCCAGACAAACGTAACGACATTTATTCAACCGAAATAGAATAAAAAAATAGTTTAGTAACAATAAAAAAATA